ATTTGTACAATTTGGGGGATTTTTCAAAGAAATTCATGATAAGTGCATCATTTATTTAAGGTGCACCTCAGTCATTTATATGATTTAATCTCTATTTAAAACATGGATTTAAATAATGTGGTAGAGTTTGAGTCACCAAGTATTTTTAAGGCCTTGATCTTTTAATGTTGAAGGTGCTTGCCTCTTTGATTCCTAGTGAGGGCTCGCTTACCACCTTGCAGAAGGTTGCCTTCTTGCTGTGTCCTCATATGGAGGGAAGGGGCAAGGGAATTCCCTCAAACCTGTTTGATAGGAAAACTGACCTCATTCAAGAGGACTGGGCACTCATGATCTTATCAACTTCCAAATGCCCTACCTCTTAAAATCATTGCTTTTGAGGTCAATACTTCAACATATAAATTTGGTGGAAACATATTTAGTACCATGCAGTTTTGCATCATGAAATATTTTAAGAAATGTATAAAACAATTAACATTCTAGTGTTAATTACAAGTGAACAATTTATTCAGTGTTATTTGGTTAATATTAGTTATGTGTTTAAATTCTTTTTACTCATTTAAAAACTCATGGCCTTTAATGACAATATATGGCAATAAGTATCATAATTAGATTTGTTTAAGTCTTTTTTGAAATTCTGAAATACAACTTTAAAAAATGAAATCAGAGTGAACTAAAAATATTTCTATAATGCAATTAATGTAACATTTCAGCACAATATCTCTTACAGGTTTGACATATGCCTATGCCATCATTTTAGTTTTCTTCACACTGATTTTTACCTAATTTTTTAAAATTTAATATTATACCTTATTTACATTAATTGCTTCATAGACTTCACATATATACTCTGGTTTACCCAACAAATATTTTATCATTTAGTTGCTTTAAAATCTATGCTCAGCCTTATGTATATTACAAATAATGTACATGATAATAATATAGCTTGCACTTTGCCCTAAGACTGTCTTATAGTAATATCACTTAAAACCTTTCTAAGTGCTGACTGTGAGCTCCAGACAGTACAGAGAGCTTGACATATATGATCAACCTCAAACCCTACGTGGTGTAGATTTTATTATCTCATTTCATCAGTGATTAGATTATCCAAAGCTATGCATCTAGTAATGGATATATTCAAGACTGCTCCTAGTTTGACTACAAACCCCATGATCTAACTATTTTGTGAAACAATAGGGCCAAAGCATGAGAATATTTTTTTGCTCTTTGACAGGTTTAGAGTATTGTTTTCTAAAGGATTGGTGCCACTTTTCAGTGTCACTTGCCACACATTAGAACACTAGGTCCATTCTGTTTTCTCTAGCACTGAATATCATCGCTTGTTGTTAATTTAATTTAAAATAGGAAAATGGTGCAGTCCTTTAGCTTTCTTCCTTTGTTACAACTAAAATAAAAATATTTCATATGTAATTCAAGTACTTCTTTTGTGAAATTACTTTTCTTGTTTTTTTCTCATTTATCTATTGACAACTTAGTGTTTTTCTTATCCAATTCTATGATCGCTTGTTTAATAATTTAAGTCATAATTTATCCATAGCCTGCAGTCTTGCTTCTCTGTTCCAGCATCTTTGATAATTCCTTCCCTAGAGGAATAATCACCTTGCTTCCATAGGAGGGAGGTTATCGTACTTACATAGACACACTTCTTACCTGTATTGATCAACTCTGTGTAAGAGCTGGCTAAAGTAATTTTATTTGAATCTTCTTTGGGTCTGAAAAGATTATGCTATCATATTTTAATCTGATGAAGGATAAATGGAAATATCTTGTTAAAACAAAGATCACCAGTTTTTTTATTATTATTATTATTATTACAAGTCAAAGGGAGCTAAGCTATTTTAAACTTGGATTAAAACAATCTTGTTATAGCTGCATGCAGTTATGTACAGAGTTCTAGGTACTAAACACCGATGGGAATACAGATATAGACTATGTTGAATCAGAGCTCACAGATAAGATTCCTTGCTATTTCTAGCACATTTTGGTTTCTATTTTGAAATCATCTCTGAGGCTTGTAAGCATTAACCTGTACTTATCTGAGTATTCATTGGCTGAGGGAAAAATATGTTTTTTCTACCACCTGATGTCAAGCTATTACTGTGAAAGTGTCTTCAGATATTATTTTAAAAGGTTATTAGGGGGTCATTATCAAACTTCTGATGTTCATAGAGAAGTAACTTCAGCCTTAGTTTTGTTAATAACATATTAATGACCAGTATTATATAATCACCAAATCCTTAGAAAACATATTTTGTGGAAATGATTTTTTTTAATTACATTGGCCATTATATATTTATATTAGTTAATCTGAATGTAATTTTTATTTAGTTCTATTATGGATAAAAATATTTAGTCTAATAATGTCATATCAATTATGAAAAATATAAATTATTCTGAGATAATGAGAATCTATTCTGTCACATCGATTATGATAAAATTAAGAGTAATAGCTAACACTTTTCCTTCAAAATATTTGATATGCCAGACACTGATCAAAGTAAAATATATGTATTCTCTCACTTTATTTTTACAAAACATCTGAGAAAAAATACATATATTTGTCACTATTTTATAGCTGTCAACCCAAATAAGGAAGGTTTACCAAATTATGTAAAGCAATTTTTATGCCACCTTAAAGCAAATACAATAAAAGTATAAATATTTAATTTTATATGGTTCTAGGTTTTTTTAATCACATTTTATTGAAATAATAAAGTAGAATTCTAATGATATGTAAGTTGATTTAAATTATTGGATTTGGTGTTATAGTGAATTCCGTGTGAGTGTATGTGTGTGTATGTGCATGACACAAAGCTTATTTTTAAATTAAGATAACTTTATAAAATGTTATTATTTTTAGAATTGTTTATGTGTTTCTTGACACAGTTCACTTACCAAGAGTTAGACAAATTCTGTTAGATAATAGCCAATCACGATGCAGTTATTGTTTTCCCATGTGCAATTCTGTATGAATTTATAAACTGTGCACACTTTCAACTAGAAGGATATTTGTACTTTATTAGGAAATGGCATCATTTTTTTCTCATTAACAAACAATTGGATACATTTGTTAACAACCAATAATTGCACATTTTTTATTGAGTTGAAACTGCTGTTTGAAATGAACTCATATATGCAGGCTTTCTATTTTAGTAGATATCAGTAAATAGAGATAATTTTATTATTAGTTAATACCAATTATGGTAAAACATTGACTGCTTAGGAGTGTCATTCATTGTGTTTAAACCATGAAGAAAAAAAAAAAAAGAAAACAAGCAAGAGCAGTCATTCTCATCTCCAAAAACTAGCAGTCTAACAAAGGAGGGCAAACAGTTTTTAAAGGGCCAGATATTTGATTTAGGCTTTGTAAGCCATACATTCTCTGCCCCAACTCCTCAACTCTGCCACAGCAGCACTAAAGAAGCCATAAACAACAAGCAGTGAGTGTTCCAAGAAAACTGTATTTGCAAAAACAAGTAGTAAACTGGATTTGGCCCTTTCTCTGTAGTTTGCTAACCCCTAATCTGAGTGCTGCAATGAGGCAGGAGTGGTAGGAAAGTTAACTTATATAAAATTGTAGTAATTGTTGGAGACATTAATGCAACAGGTGTTACTGTAAAGAAGTATATCAAGATCTGCCAAAATGCTCTACAGATGTCTTAACTACTCTTAGATTGTTTTAATATTCTGATATACTGTAGCTCTGACTCTCAGTATCTCCACAGTGAAAATAATGATTTGGCATATTATTTAAAATGTATTCTAATAAATAGACAAAGTGGAAATAAATGTTATGTAGCAATTTTTTAAATCAGAATTTCATTTTAGTGACAGTAAAATTCTCAGACATTTAGTAGTACTGTAAGTTAAAATATTGTCAGTGCTACAAAGAAAATATATTAAAATTGTCTACTTTTTCTTTGAAAAGATCCATTGGAATTTTATTTGGAAATAATCATCTATCTTCATTAGTGTTTGCAAACTTATTGGAAATTTATGTTTTGTTTATTCTTTTTGATATAAAATAGAGTAGATACACTTCTAGAAATGAAAGTTCAAAACAGACAGATTTTAAATGAAAGCCTAGACATGCTGGTATATTATATCGTTACTGAGCTCACATTATAGTTCTGTTGAGATCACTGTAAATGCTATTCGTTTAAAAATACCTAGAAATGAATGCATTGAAGCACTAAGTAACTTATGTCTTTTATTCTGCCATCAGTTTACATGTTTTCTGTCAATAAAGTGCATTTTATAAAATAGTTTACTTTGTATTTCCTGGATTTATTACTATGAATATGTAGAAAAATTACAAGAATCTTGAGTGTTGCAATATCTGGAAAAATGCGTGTATTCTGTATAGTTTGTTTTTTTATATAGCAAGTGCTCTGGAAATATATATTTGGAAATACAATTTTTTAATCTGGAAATGTAAAATTAAATTGGTAGGCCTAAGTAAATGATTTGGGAAGTTATATATGCCTAACATTTTCAATAGGCTATGATAAGTAATATCACAAGCATAAGAAATCAGTGGGTCACACAAGAAAGTCTTTATACTCTTTCCAAGTTTGTAGGCTATGTGCAAAACATGTATTTAAAGGGCTATTTAGGATTTCTTCTGATGTAAATTTTGAGGGAATTTCTGAGGAGAGATATGTTAAAATGGGCTTACATCTTTATTTATGTCTATATTAATTGCATACAATTAATTCAAATATATTGGCTCATGACATTTCTTACTGATAACCACTTTAAGCAAAATAAAAATAACAATTTACTACAACTCTATATTTCTTAAATCCATAAAACGCTTCTTAATTTGAAAGGCACTGTGAAAAAAAATTAATTGTATGCATTTAGAGATTTTTGATTTTGAAAAGGAAAGCAGACACCTGAGTAAATTCATAGTGTCTTTATGCTATATTTGAGGGAGTGGGATCTCTTCCTTATCTTGGGCTCTCTTGTTTGCTTTTCAGTTGCTGCGAATGTGGCTGTGGGAGGGCTTCTTCCCTGTGCGCTGTTGCCCATCCAAGCCTAATATGGTTAGTGTTCCCTCCCACCTTCACTCCTATGTGATGTCCACCTATATGTATTACCGTCGGCATTTCTTTTCTTTCTCCATTTGTGTACATTTGAGTAGAATAAAGCTGGCTCCCCAAATTGAATCCTAACAAGTGATTTCACAATGGATTATTTCAAATAAATATTATACATATGGCACATCATCCCTATGTCAAGCATTCATACGTCTCTTCTGAGGCTTTTACTGTGGTCCTGATTTAAACTAGGGAGTTGTGAGATTACAGTTATATGTTCCACATTTAACATGCCACCGTTTTCGTTGTTCCATTAAGTAAAAACCATGTCACACATGAAAGTAGAATGCTACTTCTGTCAAGGCAAAATCACCTTTTCTGTCTCCCAAAACCGTGGAATGACCACAGTATAACTTTGATCTTCTATTGTCATATCGTTGTGAATACATGTGGCACTGGAAAACAAAGCCACATGTAATTTCAAATGGTTTACCTAATTTTATTAAGCTTGAATTATTACAGATATTAGAAGTGATATTCTCACTTTGATACCAGTGAAGTAGAAAATATGCACATTTTTCAATCAGTGTCCAAATGGCATACTCTTAATTATTTATAAGTACAAATCCTAAATATACATCTGGGGGTTATGACTATTCACAGATGCATTGGAACTCCTACACAATGGGAGTTACTTTGTGAAAAGTGAAATACTCCAGATAATTTCTTTCTAGACTAAATAGCCTAAATCCTTGCACTATTGTACCCAGTTGTCATTTGTAGTCAGAATTTGCCAAGGAATATGCTTTCTAATGCATATTAGAAAGCTATAGAGTTTCCTAGGGGCTTTTAAAATTGTTAGATATATTCTCTAGGTATAAAGTAATATTTGTTGCTTGAAAAATTGTGTGTGAATGAGGGTATACAGATGTGCAAATGTGAGAAATGGTGGAATGAATGCCAATGATCTGAGAACGAGAGAGTGAACGAACATAGAATGTTGTAATTTAGAAATATGTTTATCAATTTTTAAAAATTTTTGAATTTGGAGAAAGTTTTAAAGTTTAATATGAAGGTAAAGATTTGTTCCAAATAACTTACACAGGAAATTCTTATGAGCATGGGGCTTCAGTGTCAAACTAAATACAAACTAAAATCTGGCAAAAGCTATAGTATAAAGTTTGGTTTTAATGTGTGTGTGTGTGTGGGTGTGTGTGGTGTGTTTTTGTGCTATGAAAAACTAAAAATGGTCATTGAATTGTCTATTCCACTTTAGTGTCAATTATAGTTGTTAACATAGATAAATCATCTCTGAAGCAGAATAAGCATAATTAACAACTTAGAAAAGAACATTGATATTTATGCCTTACCTTGAACTACATCTCAAAAATATTTCAGTGGAAGTGTGAACATTTATCAGTCTGTTGCTTTGAAAGCATTAGAAAAGGCTAGCTTTAGCCAGATTGAAATTCTTGATTAAAAAAAAAAATAGTATCTTTTTCTAGTGTATTGTTGGCTTCAGGTGGTTTATAAAATGAATAGAAGAAAAGAAGGAAAATAGGAAAGCAAAACTCTTATTTTTTTAAAAAAAACACATCAGTAAACTGAAGATGACAATATATTTCTTCCAATAATGTTAGAAATTATGAAGGCAATGAGTTTGTTTGTATACGTGCATGTGTATTTGCCTGTGGGTGTGTTTGTGAAAAAAAAAAATAAAGATTTAGCCACATATGTATTTAGGCACTCAGTAAAATGCTACCAGTCTTCATGGAAAGACTCCTGGAAAAGCTGAAAATATTAAAAAATATATTCTTGGTAAAATAAAACAAATTAAAGCCAAAGAAACAAACTTTAACTGAGCTTATGTAAACAATAAAAAATTTGTCTAATTTTTTACTGGGTAGGAATCAGAACTAAAAATGCTTTATTGCTATATTTTGTGAAGTTTCATTTTGTAATTTCATGTTACTACAAATTTTCTGTTAAGGATGGTATTTGTTTAGATTAAAGCACTAGGAAGAAAACAACCTTATATAATAAAAAGAGCTGAGAAGAACCACTTATCTAGGAGAGTCAGTAAAATACTAAGAAATCTGAAATCCTGTCACCTAATTTTGCATGTGTTATCATGCCAGCATTTCCAATAACCACGTCATTCATTTTCAAAATTCTATCATCATCATTTGTGAACAGACACATTTGCAGTTATAGAACAGAAATTTGTAGACTTTTTAATCTTAGAATTCCATTGTTTTTTGTGTCTTGAAAGATCACTCATGAATCCATATGTGGTTAGTTTTGACCTTAATATAATATGATACATGTACATTAAAACTGTCCATTGTAAATGCATTGACTCTTAGAAATATCCTGAGATAACTTGTGTAAATTTAGGGTTCCAAAGAACATTGTTTCAAAACTATTCATATAGATTCTTGGCTCAGCAATTCCAATGTGTTGACACTCTCGCAAGGATCTGAGATTCTGATTTTTAATCTATCAAATTTCCCACCAGGAAACCACATCTATCATTTAAAAAATACATGATGCACCATTTATAAGATGATATTTATAATTACATGTTGCCTTTTAAAATCCTTTTATCTCAAATTATTTTCATCAGTATAGTTGCCTGCTTGCTTTGTTGTGACATTCATAAACATAATGTTAATATTCCAAACGTTCTCCCTGCTTTAACTGAAATCTACCCAATGATAAAAGCCATTTCTGTACTATTTCTGAATGAAACTCAGATGCCTAAAGTTTAAGCACCATATCCCCAAAGCTTCCCACATTTTTAGCAAAGGTATTGTTTAAGTTGCCGTGGCCTTTATTGTCATCTCAACCAGTTCAACTTTCTAATCATGGTTTTACTTCTCAAAAAAAAAAAAAAAAAAATCTATTTTTACAAACAACCATTTTTGAATTGATGGTTTTAATATAATAATGTCTCTACTTTCTAATGTTACCCCTTATCCACGAATATTCATCTGTGTTTGTGCTTACAGAAACCAATGTATATTTATAGCATACTATTTATTATAAATCAATCTAAAATATCGCATAGTCCCAAAGTAGCCATTTCTTGCGTTTTTTAAATTCAAATGAGTCAAATTATTTTCTTCATTCATTCACGCTTTTCGCTGTCTTCATATTTTTTACCACATCCTTTGAGGGATTTAAGTGGCAAGGGAAAAGCAGTCACTATTTTGAAAATAGAGATATTAAATTCTTATTTTATTCATTTACCTATTATGTGATCTGTAGATAATAAGCTTCACTTTTTAAATACTTTTTATAATTCTAAAAGTATTTTAAATCAGAGACATAATAAATGAACTCTAGTATATCTCAGAATTCAGACATACAATGAAGAGATTAAAAACAAAATCCAAACAAAACAAATTTCTCTGGCCAAATGATCATCATGTCTTTGAAACATTAACTATTATCCTAATTTTTCAACACATTTTTCTTTCTCTATATTAGCTCTGTTTCTTGAAATGTGTAATGAGAAAATTTTTATTTTCATACACACTTTACATTAATTATTTTATTCATCTTTATAAGATATCTGCCGGGGGGAGGGTGAAAGTACTCTTCCCTTTTATATAGCATGAAAGTGGCATAAAGAAGAAAACCATCCCTTTGTAATAATTCTAGAACTCCATTTAAAGTGCTTTGTGGTAGGCAGATGGGAGTGTTGTTTGACATGTATATAGAGTATATTAAATTTCATTTGAAGGCCTGCTAAGCAAAATACAATCACGAACTGCTCCAAACTATCCATTTTTAAAAGTAACAGTGAAACTTCAGACTACAGGAGATATTAAATGGACCTTCTCAGATTGAGAAATCCAATAGTGGCATCCATGAAACACTTAAAAATTAATAGGAAGTTATGTACTCTAGAATAAGAATAAAACTTTTTAAAAACAGAGAGATTTAATTGTCATAGATAGTGTTATATCAAAATTCTGTCAATTACAACTGAATTCAACATAGAGAATAGTCTTTAATTTATCTTTGTATATTTTGAAGAATTTGAAATTGTTCAGGTTTTCCTATTATAGCTAATTTTAAAAGAATTTGAATAATTTATTGAGAGATTTACAATTTCATGTGTATAATATTTTAGGAGATTTATTCTAAGAGTTTTAAAATTCTTTGTTTTATATAATATGAAGATACAAAGTGATATATAAAGCATCAAGTAAGATGTCATTTAGCTTCTCACATGGCATTAATCATAGGGCTGTTAGCACTCTTGATCAAATGTGCGATAAGAACTCAGAAAATTGTTTTCTCATTTTGTGTAGTATAATTTTACATAATTCCCATATCCAATGAAGTATGTTTTTCTAAATAAGTGAATTCCTTTTAATCAGTATATCTGAAAATATTTAGTAAATAAAAATAAATTAGCTGCACTTTTTGTCTGACTTAAATCTATCTATGAAGAACTCAAAATGTCAATATTCTGGTAGTATAAATGAGGAAAATATAAATGACTCACACAGTTTTACTAGCAGGACTGCCTAAATATCCAATGCCCCATTTCAGTACATATTCATTTGCATTCCTATTGAAGAATACTGGCTCATAAAACAAAATTTAATCCATGTTCAGTTTTTATTAGATACATTAATAACTTAATGTTCATATGTTTATGTATTTTATGAGGATAAGCTAGCTGACTTTAATTAAACCTTTGTCTAATTGGAGAAAAATCCCAAAGTGAAAAATTCAAAGTATTTTCTAAAAACCAGTATTATTCCTTTCAAGTTTCCAGCAGTGAAATTCTCTATATACTATCATTTATATACAATATTATGCAATGGTTGAGGTCCTTGTTATGTCAGAATACAGGAGTGTGCATATATGAAGAAATGTGACTTTAAACGAGGCTCAATTAAGAGTTTTTATTTTTTCTCATCTCATATAGATATTATTGTTCACTGTAATTTGTTGCTTTTTGAATATTTTTGCTTCAGTTTATAGGAAAAGCATCTCTTAATCTGGAAAACAGAGGAACAATACAGGAGTATCAATTTCTGAGCTAGACACTGCATGTGCTTACTCTTTTAAATAAATAAAGTGCAAAACCACTTCTTCCCCTATTGTATCCCGCTCTACTTTATTTAGATTAAGCTGAAAAAAATTATTTAGATCATATTTCTGTAGGCTAAAGCAATGGAAAGATCTGATAGTATGAAGGCTATTGTTTTGCAAGGATTTCCACTCCGTTTTCTATTCTGTTCACTTGTCCTTTCCTCATTGGTCACAAGAGTGCCATTTATAATGTACTGCTTCTGTACATTACTTGGTACTCTGAAATTCTTGACATTCATATCCCAAATTCATTATCAAGTCCCAAATTTGTACTCAGAAACTAAGTTATTCATTGGCTGTCCATCTCTACACAATTTTTTTATATATTACAGAACTCTTAAATATCTAAATGTAGATATTATAACTGCAACCAAATTTTTAAGATCAGCATTAAGAGTATCAAAAATGTATTATCCAAATCCTTAGAAAAAGCATGAGAGAAAATGGATTGATTTCTAAATAAATGATAAGGTCATTGCTATATTTATATATCTAGCATCTCTCTAGGACATTTAAATAAATATTAATTAATGTGTATGAGTATGAGTTATGCCTATGAATAATTTCTCCTGCCCATCTCTATTACTAAACAGCAAAATCACATTGTTTTCTAAAAGAACATGAGTATAAATGATTAGAGAATGTAATTCCTTTAAATACAGACACTGCAGATGTTTTTGGTATAATAATTTCAAAGCTCACATTAAAATTGTGATGAAAGTAAAATTTTTAAAAAATGTTTCTTTTCCATTCAGAAAAAAAAAAAAAAATCATTTCCAGAAAGGAGGAGGTACAATTTACATACAGAATAACATATTTATTGACTGTTTTCTGATTGGTTAAAATTATGCATCTGGAGCAGGTACAGAACATGATACTGAATGAATATGCTTCCTGAAACGCTTTTTCAATGAGACTGAACTGCTGCCTGAGTACCAGTCTCTGCCAGCTGCACTTTTACTTGCTGTTTCTTGTTGAGGCTTGTTTTAACGATGCTTCGGGGGATTCCAGAACTTAATTTTACATGTTAATGCGATATGCAGCCGTATATGTTATAGAGCTCCAGAGATGCCCTTAGTCAAGCATAACTCCTTTCAATTGCGCTGCTGACTCTCACCCTAGGTAATGCAATGTTAACTGCTCCTCACCAAGGTATTCCCAAGTCATTTTGTTATGAGATCCAAAGTTTTATTTCCATTTTCATACCAGGAATTTTTATGCAGTATAAATATCCATGAGGTTTATTTAATGATAAAGGCTACTTGAGGATACAATTTTGAAAGCTTATCATTTATTTTTTTGAAGGTGGGAGAGTTGAAGGTGGATTAATAGATATTTGTTTTCTAACGTAAATTTTAAGAACATGTATAGCTTTTAGGTCCCTGTAGAGTTCGTCTAACAAAGTTGTTATTGTCAGTATTATTTAAATAACACAAATCTCTGGATAATTTTGCACAATTGTATTTAGAATGTTATTAAAAAGAAATATTAATAACTGTTTTCTCTAGAGGCACATATATTAAAGGCTAAAAGAATAATTTTATATCTAGCGAAATTATGAACAATGTATTAAAATAACTTAAAACTTAGCTTAAATAGACCAAATATAATTTCAGTGTGGTTTAATGTATTTGTTTCTTCCCTCCTTTTCATTTTGGTGAGGAGATTTAAGATGTCTTAAGGACCCTGGAATGACAAATATATTTAAGTGTTATGAATAAAATTTGAAGCCTTGTGATCCCTGTTGTGTATTTTTCCTCACCCAAGAAGATTATATGTAATATATATATTTACTAGTGTTACTTTACTAATAAGTTGCCAGTTTTTTTAATATGAGAAAGATAACTGTATCTTTTCTTTTCTTTCCTTCTTTTTTTTTTTTTTTTTTTTTTTTTGAGATGAAGTCTAGCTTTGTGGCCCAGGCTGGAGTGCTGTGGCAAGATCTTGGCTCACTGTAACCTCCGGCTCCTGGGTTCAAGCGATTCTTCTGCCTCAATCTTCCAAGCAACTGGGATTACAGGTGCCTGCCACCACACCTAGCTAATTTTTGTATTTTTAGTAGATACTGGGTTTCACTATGTTGGCCAGGCTGGTCTCAAACTCCTGACCTCGTGATCTGCCCACCTCAGCCTCCCAAAGTGCTGGGATTACTAGCGTGAGCCACCACACCCGGCCAGATAACTGTATTTTTTTCCAAAAATGACAAAAGATGGATTGTGTTGACCATTTTTGTAATATATATGTCGTTACACATTGTAAAATCACAAAATATATTCCCTTATCAAAATATACATATATTTTAAATATATCCTAGAATATGTAATCAAAGGACAGTCTCTGTTAGTGCATGTGTAATAGACACTTCATATATGTCACACAGTAGTTCTCAACCAATTTTGTAATGAAAATATTTTATCAGTCTGTCATTTGGCTGTCTTTTCTTAATGCATAAATCAACGGAAATTTTGTTTTTAGTAAACTGAATGTTGTGCTGGGAGCTTATGAATAGTAAAATCACTTCTTTAGAGTTTCACTAAAAATAATTTAAATATTTTCATTTTAGCCAGTTGTTTAATGTTGTACGCGTAATCATCAATTCAGTGTTAATTCAGCACATTCCCTCTCCAAACACCTGTCATTGTGTAGACATAATCAAAATATCATTCTCTCATTCATTTATTCATTCATCAATGTGACAAATATTTTTAGTGCCAACTCTGAGTCAGGTGCCAGGTCACTGCATGAATTTACAGATGAATAAAATTTATTGCCATTCAAGAAGCTAAAAAGTAGTAAGGAAACCAACAAGGATACTCAAATGACTATGCTGCAGCATAGACTGGAAATCACAAGACAGAGTAGAGAAAGCTATTGTGCTCCAAAGGGAAAATACTACATTAAGTTTGAGTATCGAGAAAAATGTGAAGAAGGAAAAAAATGGAACTGAACTTTGACAGTTGGAAATTGTTACGAAGAAAATCCTCAGTGAAGGAACCAATATGTGCAAACGTATGAAAGCATGGAGAAATATCCTGGAGATTTCAAGAGAAAGTTTAGTACAAGTGAAGATGAAAAGTTGGAGTTGATTCCGGAAGTGTATGTTAGGGCTACATTTAGGAATCTTTATCTTATTATTTCATTAAATATTTTGCAGTAGATAGCTAATGCAATAGAAAGGCATCTTATATACTGTAATTTGGCCATAGCCATGTATAGTATAGTTTAGGAAAGGAGCTATAGAGTGGAGGAGCATCATTTTGAAGGCACTCATAGGAATGCGGAGGAAAAATATTAGGGACTTAATTGAGGAAATGTTAGAGCTAATGAAAAGAAAGAGATGAGTCGTAGTTCCTGGGATTTGGCTCTAATTTGTTATGAAGAACACAAGAATAAGTCTTTGCTTTTAAGGGACCAAGGCCATAGTGTTATTAACAGGAAAAGAAGGCAGACTATTGTTGAAAGAAGTAAAGAAAAATACACAGATTTCATTTTCAGGTCCATTGAGTTTGAATGTTTGTGGGATACCCCTATAAAATAAATCTACCAGAAATAAAAACATAACTCTCAAAAGAAATTAAACCAGTGAGATAGAGGTATTAATTAAATTGATAGAAATAGATGGATTGAGAGGAGAGAACCAGAGATGTTCACATGGAGGCCCTATGAAAATGTCCATCCATCAATGTAGAGATGAGTGAAAAGAATCAGAAAAGTAGTTAGGGATTTCAATCCATCAGGAATAATGAAAAACCAAGATTGTATTTAGAAGTTAAGATGTCACTTGTGAATCTTAGGAAGACAGATTTTTTTTTTCCAGTAATAAGAGAAATTTGCAAAGACTTGAAAATTTGTGGATAATTGAGAAAACAAAGAGAGATAAAAGTTTGAAAGGTGAAGCTGAGAGGCTTTGCAAGTTGTGATGAGTTTCATAGTTTTCTGGGTGGATGTGAGCAGAAAATAGTCAGTGGAGCAACTGAGGATTCCAAAACAGTAGAGAGAAAAACAAAAATCAAAACCCTATTGTGCAGGGTGATGAAGGCAAGAAACTATTATTTTTTGGGCAGTTCATTCAGAAAGAGGCAGTGGCCTTTGAACTGCCAAAAAATAAAAATAAAATAAAGTAAAAGAGGAAAAGAGAACAACAATGGCTAGTATATAGTATTTGGTGAAGGGAAGTTTAAAAACAGGTTTGAATGGCTTCAGGCTTCTCAGTGAAATCTACGCAAGATTATTTTCTTAGTGAGGAACACTGGCTAGGGATATAGGTCTCATCCAAACTACTAGTATGAAAATCAGTTTAGGGTTGCAATAATTTCAATTGCGCTTCATGCTTCTGGGCTTGATGTGATTGATTCACCACTTTCAGATGTGGCTAATTCTAGCTTACTTTGTTCCAGGCGGTGTGGCTACAGCAAAGCAAAACAAGATCCAGAAGAGGAAAAGATGCATTTTCATAATGGGCACAGTAAGCAAATTGCGAAAAATAAAAACAGAATAAAATAAGGGATACTTTATTGTTATTTAAGTTTCTTTTCAGGCTAGAAGATTTATAATAACTGACCAAAATAGTGTTTTGTTTTGTTTTTTTAATAAGTGTTCTATTTGTTACATTCCTGTAAAGAATATGGACTTGCGTATTTCTGGCATGCTTTAGGTAATAGCTGAATGCTTTATTCAATTATTTAAATAATACTTTCATTATAATCAAAATAAAAACTTTTTGCTTAATATAAAGAGCTATTATATTTCAAATGAAATTTTCTGGCCTATTCTAATTCCTAGCAACACAATGAGTAGAAATCTATCATTAAGTAACATCACCAGGTTAAATAAATAAAATTTCTCAGGTTTTTTTTTTCTTCTTCTTCTAGCATTTTAGTGGGAATTTACCTGAAGAGATCCTGTGGCAGCAATCTTGGTTCAAATAACTTAAAAAGACCATGTTTTAAAAAATAATGCAGAAAATCATGTTTTAATAAAGAGATTTAACAATTAATCTAAATAAGTTGAATTTTGATGTTTTATTATTTTTCCTTAAATGGTGCAATGTGAGTTGATTTGCCAAGTGAGTGACAAATATATATATTTTTTTCCTCTCTGCCATCTTAAATGTCAAAATCATTAAAGCTATAACTCATGCTGCAAAGCATTGAGTTCATCTCCTAATCCTATCTTATTTAATATTATTTATTTCCAAAAATCTTGATGAGGTGATATTAGCAACCGTTAAAGGTGATAAAACTGGAACTCATAGAGCATAAGTCTTGTCTAATGTCATACAGTGACAGAAATACAGTGAGAAGCAGAATACTTTCTTTTGACTTATATGTCAGCCTTTTTGTACCATACAACCAGAAAAGTTACTTGAAATCATTTTGTATAAAATTAAAATTAATAATAATGTGATTATATTGAATATCATCCATATGAAATATAGAAAAATAAACCAGCAAATTAAGCACTTGTATTGTATTGTCAGGTTCGGTGAATAACATTGTCTTATTTTGCCTCAGAGACTTTCTAAGTATTATCATTGAGAGGTGTGTTTTCTCAGATATGTCATCACTTTTGCATTTCTTGTGTCTGCAAACAGATTTCTAAAATTATAAAACTGATATAGTTGTACAACTAACTGTAACTCAGGAGAGGGCTGGTCCTTGCAGTTTGGCTACTTCTAGGAATTAGGGATTCAAGTCATACTTGCATGTTAATAAAGTTCATAATTTTGCTCATCCATCACAATTACTTCTATTTTAATGCCAATTTACTTTTACAGTTAAACTGCCAGGAGTAAGAACTTATATTGATCCACATACCTATGAGGATCCCAATCAAGCTGTCCATGAATTTGCCAAGGAGATAGAAGCATCATGTATCACCATTGAGAGAGTTATTGGAGCAGGTACAACAATGTGTTTGACTTTGACTTTTAACTTTTGTTTGTATTCTAGAATGTAATATATCAGTGTCCTGATTTAACAGAGAATGTTTTTAATCTTTTGTAATTGGCTTGCATTCAAAGTGATATGTAATTGATCACATTTTAAGACAACCTTCTGTGTAACTCATGCTTAAACCAGCAAATATCTGGTTTATAAAACTTAAAAACAGCAAAAAAAATTTAAATAGATGTTTCACTATTTTATATATATATAATATACATATATATTATATATATATATATAGAGAGAGAGAGAGAGAGACAGAGAGAGAGAACTTGTAATACCCAAAAGTATGTATGTAATTCAGTTTATATCTGTCTTAAAATTGTTTCCTTTTTTTCTAGCTATAACCTGGTTGACTTTTCTCTTCTTATTACTACTACAGTAGAGAGAAAAAGAAGAAAAAGTGATTTTTAGTTAGTTGCTTTTAATTTCATTGTACCTTTTTTTTTTTTTAAAGGCTTTTGTAGGTGAGATGGAGGAAGCTAATAGTCCCTGAAGTGTTTTAAGATAATCTGTTATGGTTTGCTCCAATGTACTATTTATTTTCATTACTATCAATAGCTTAGTGTAGACTACCTTTTTCTGACTGTTTTTTGTTTGTTTGTTTGTTTGTTTGATTTTCATTTTTTCGTCTAAGCCTTAGGAGTCCAGGAGGGCATTCAAGTATTAATGAACTAAAAATTTCAAATGTGTTTTTGCATTTTTTTCATCTTTATCACAAGGTGAATTTGGTGAAGTTTGTAGTGGACGTTTGAAACTACCAGGAAAAAGAGAATTACCTGTGGCTATCAAAACCCTTAAAGTAGGTTACACTGAAAAGCAACGCAGAGATTTCCTAGGTGAAGCAAGTATCATGGGACAGTTTGATCATCCTAACATCATCCATTTAGAAGGTGTGGTGACCAAAAGTAAGTATGATGGCAAATTATACATGTGTGTGCATATCATCAATATCTCTTTAGATCATTATTAATTTTAGGGTAAAGAGAAACCAACGTTGTAATATATTAATTACTCTAATATTAATGTTTATCATGTATTTTAGATTTTTGTTAAAGCTAATCTTCAATGAACTTGAATTTTCATCTATCTTTTAAAATATATATTTTAACTCATTTGCTATTAATTCAATGCCAGACAAAAATATATCCAGATAAAAGAAGCAGTAAATATATCAACTTTTTTTTTTTTTTAACTGTTGGCTCTTCTACTTTTTATCCTAATGAAATATTAACTTCAAAGTTTTGATTAAGGCATTGAAGTTTAACATTCAATAGGATTGCTATAACCATAGCAATGCCATGTTTTAAGCAGTTCTTTATAGTCAGGTTCATTTTGTTTATTCTTTTTTTTAAAGATATGTTAATAGTTCTAGCGAAAGGAACAACCACAGAAGACAGGGAAGCTCCTTTTAACGAATTTTTTTTGTTGTGAAAGCAAATCTAGTTGTTGTTTTTTTTTTCTCTCAAAAATACCGAGGATTTTACGTCTCTTTTAATTTGTGTTAATGTTTTTTAAAAGTGTTCGTGTGGTGAGCCTTGCAATACAAGGATTTTAAATCATTTTCAATCAACAAATAATGTATTTTTGCGGCACATACATTGGCCTTCATTTTCTTTGTATTCATTGTTTCTTTATGATTCCTATGTGTTCTGATTCCTTCCTTTATTCCTGACACCCTACACATCAGTTACCAAAATCCATATCTTAAAGAGGTACACATCTCCAGGAAGCATGCTCAGAGAGGAATGCAGGAAAAGAATAAAATAACCTACAGATGTGGGTTTCTTCAAATCTTGGATTTTCTTCCTCCAGTTGAGTATATACCCACACATTATTCTTTACTTGATGGAAACCCAGACAGGGCATTTCTGGAGCAAGAAGGCAATCCTGAAGTCTTATCAGAAAAGTGTAAAATTGCTAAAGAAAGGCAGGAGGCAGGATCAAGAGAGAGGCAGTCAGAGGAAACAGCACATTTTTTTAAATGGAATAAAACAAAAATATTTTATAACGAGGATATTCTTTAATGGATGTGTGTAAATATGTGAAATAAGAATATAATATAAAAATATGGTCACAGATGCAATAAAATTAAATTAGAATTTGAATGTGGCTATATTCTATCTGAGGGGAAGGACTTCGAAAGAACATCTGTGATAGCAAGTGGCGATTCTGTAGAAGCAAGAATCATAACAACAGAGATTAAGTAAAATTATTTGCTATGTAGAAATGATATTATCTAATGTAAAACATAGTTCTTAATGATGGTACCAGTAATAATAGTAAGCAAATATTTAATAATTTCCATCTTTGTTGCCTCATTCACATGGCTGACAAATTTAACTTTCTGAAAATAAACTCTCACTATCACGTCCTGTTACCCCAGGGTGAATGCAAACTCCATAGGCAGCCAATCTACCCTTCATAATGAATTAAGATGTAATATTTAGAACAATGCCAGATTACTGTTATTATCATGGAAGACCAGGTTGCATAATAGTCAAGAACATGGTCTTTGCATCTAGTGATGCAATTTGAATTTTAATTCTAATATAAACATTTATGTGGTTTTGCACATCATAAACATTTGGAACCTTAGTTTCCACATTAATACTATGGGGTGAGAATATCTTGTAGCATTATTGTGAAGATGACACGAATTAATATGGATGAAGTTTAGAATGGGCAAGGCACAAAGTAAGTATGTATTTAGTACATAGTTATTACTTCTCCACTTATCTCTCTTCCTATGCTCTGAACTTCTCCATATCCATTTTATACTTAGTCCATTTTAAACTACCTCATATTTTGCCCTGCCTTCATTGCCTCTTTCTGTGAAATTTACACCCTCATGTTCACTACTTTCTCAAGTTCATTGAAAATTTACTCAAAGTCTACCAGCTCTGTGACATAATCCCTTCCACTTTGCCCTGAAGTAATTTCTTCTTTTGAACACTCTGCATACATGATAATTTTTGCAAGTCTATAATGTTTCTTCATTTGGTTCAAAAGTGTTATTTAAATCTTACTTTTTTTTTGTCTCTGTTGCTTATATGTTTCAGCTCTCTAGCTAAAAGATGTATGTTCCTTGAAGACAAAGATCGTATCCTAAATATTTATGTAAACATATGGTATTTTACAGATCTTTATTTATTATTTATTTATTTATTTATTTATTTATTTATTTATTTTTTGAGACGGAGCCTCGCTCTGTCACCCAGGCTGGAGTGCAGTGGCAGGATCTCAGCTCACTGCAAGCTCTGCCTCCCGGGTTTACGCCATTCTCCTGCCTCAGCCTCCCAAGTAGCTGGGACTACAGGCGCCCGCGACCTCGACCTCACCCGGCTAGTTTTTTGTATTTTTTAGTAGAGACGGGGGTTTCACCGTGTTAGCCAGGATGGTCTGGATCTCCTGACCTCGTGATCCTCCCGTCTCGGCCTCCCAAAGTGCTGGGATTACAGGCTTGAGCCACCGCGCCCGGCCTTTACAGATCTTTATTACAAAACTTGTTTATTTGACTGGGTCCTGACTGAGATAAATTAAGACAACTTCTTGTAATAATACAAACAAGTTTCTCATATATTGTATATGCACTTTTAGGAGCTAGTTTCAATATCAACAAATGATCATATCTAGATTCTATGAACTCTATTCTAAAAATGTTACTGTGGTTAAAAAGGCAGTTTTAAATTTCTATATCTTAATCAAATGTTCTGCTGGATGTTGCTACTCACCATGAGGCTACACATATATGTAAAGAAAAATGTAAATACTTACAATATTTATTTGCTTTTACTTCTTATTCTGTATGTTTAATTTATTCTATACGTTTATTCTATACATTTATTGAAACAATATTTCTCCTTTATAAATTTGGCTCTTGATGTTCAACTTAGGAAGTCTTCAACTTGTTTTTAATTTACCATGTTGCAACTCACTTTATTTGTGTCCTTAATTTCATGCTCTCTGATCTGATGCTAATTTATTCAGCAATTATTCTCAACCTGCAGCACACAGATAATGAGACATAAGTGCAACTAAATCTTGTGATTTTTCTTATTGAAGCTGAGGTAGGGAGTCTGAAGTAGCCCTTCTATGGGTGGTGTCATTGTGAGCCTTCATCTTTGCAGTATCACGTGCCAGAAGCTTGAGCCCCCATTCAAATCCCTTCTATGATTTATTGTGAAACAGAAACCATCATAAATAGATACATATATTCTAAAGCTCTTTCATGACAAATGACATTAAAAAGAAACCCACAGGTCCTGGCTTAATTGACTCATTTGAAATGCAAGGCACTTTAGTGTAATAGACACAGTGCCAGCTTTTACTATTTAATGAGATTCGGGAAAAAGATAAAAAGGAGACAAAAGTTATAACTTTTTCACTGCAGCATCGTTAGTTCCTGGATATTTCGTCTACCATCAGTGGAAAATTATTAACCAAACTGACTAAAGGAATATCTATTCAGTCTTAGGATTAGTTATAATTTTATTTCTTAATTTAGAATCAGGTATGAATAACCTTAGTTCTGTAAAATTAATAAATTTAAACAAAACATTACAGAAAAATTAGAGGAATTTCTCTTTCTCTTTATTTCTATATCTGCAGAGATAGAACATACAATTACATTGATTGCCTAAACTGCTAGACAGTTTTGACTTACTGTGTAAATTTATAATTATCTTTCAAATACGTTACTTCAGTCTGTCTAGTAAGATCATTTTCTCTATACAGGCTCTTATTATATATTAACTAACATTATTCCAACAGTCGTCCACTACTCTTCCCATTTTGTCACTTTCCACTTTAGTCCACTCCATACACATTGCCCTCAAATCACTGCTTTCCTGTCATGCTTCTTCAGCAGTCAAGCAAACAAATCAACCAAAATGCATAGACTTTCATACTTAATCTGAGACATATTTCCATAGTTCACTATTTTCTTTCTGGAAAACTCTACCTTATTCTTGCTCTGCCCCCTTGAGATACTTCAGTGAGGCCTAAAATGTCCTCTCTTCTCTCTTCTTTACTTTCAAGTTTAATTCAAATGTGACCTCTATGAGATCAGTGTCATTTATCTTCATTTTTCCTTCAATCTTGAGTGCCTGCCTGGCATAAAGTGGCCTTCAATTATGTTGAATAGCTGAGTAAAGGAAAACTTCCCAGTTCTACATTAGAGTACAAGTTTCAAAATATGAACTTTGAAGGGCAAAGATTTTTGTTTTGCTCACTTGTGTGTTCCTAGATCCAAGCCCAACATGTGTAGCACTTTATATATGTGTTGAATGAATGAATTATCAGTCAGAAGTAATTGTCTAAATACCAGTGGCATTTCTATATACTCTGTCATGCTATATGCTTTTTCATAATTAAATCTGCAAATGTTTTATCACCTTTCTTATGCAATGAACTCATTGAAACCAGCATAGGTTTATCACCCCCTTTGTGTCTAGCCAAGGGCCAGACATATTAGGTAATAAAAAAAAAAAAGGAGGAAATTAAAATAGTGAATGAATAAATTGTGGCTATGTAAAGATCATAGGCTAGTTAGAATGATATGATTTATGTTTTAAATTTTAAAACTTTATTATATAAAACCATGGGCTTTTATGAAAAATAATAATAAAATTAATAGAAAGGAAATTGTCTGAAAATCAGTCTTGCATACACCACTATTAATTATTATTAACATTGCATTAAGAATTTACTAAGCTTAATTTTCTTTATATGTTATCTCTTTTAATCTGCACAATATGCTATGCTATAGACATTAGTATTTGTTTTCATTTTACAGAAGGGAAAAATTAGCATTAAAAAAGTTAAATACCTTATCCAATATCATAAAACTAGTGTGGGAATAATGGCAGATTTTAAAACAGTTCTCTCTGATTCCAAAATCCAAACT